CCACAACGAATTATTGTAATTGAAATGAAATGATTTTTATTCATTATTATTTATTTGAAATATAAAACTAAAAAAGAATATAAAATAAAATCAATAAATGAACATTTCATCTATCAATAAATGAAATGATGAATATAAAAATGGACATATTTCTTTCTTGTTTTATTTCATTTGAAATATTCATATTCAATGTGTTAATTTAATAAATAATAAAAAGAAATAAGAATAAAAGATAAATAAAAATATAATAAAATATTTATTTGATTCTTTTTTATTTCTTTTTTATTTCTTTTTTATTTTATTTATATTATTTTATATTTTTTTATTTTATTCTTCTTCTTTTATCTTTATATCTATTATATATTTCTTATTTTATTATTTATGTTATATTCTTATATCATTTTATTCTTATTTTATATTTATTCATTATTATTCATTTCATATTAACAATGATAAATATCAATACAACATATAATAAATAAATGATATAAGATAAACAACAATAAATAATAATAAAATATAAACAAACAATATAAACAAATATAAAATAATAATAATAAATAATATATGAGATACTTAAATGAAATACTGAACAATTTCATTTTAATTCGATTCATTTGAATGAATATTTAAGAAAACTATTCCATTTATTAAAATGATTCATATTTATAATAAAGATGAAGAACTATTTAAAGATAAATAAAAAAGAATTAATATGATATTTGGTTATGTTGAAGTTATAAATTTGGTTATACTAACATTTCATTTGAACAATAATAATTTAATAAAATTATATTAAATGTACTGGTATTGTTTTGTATAACAAATAATTAATTAGATAAATAACTCCTTAATATCAATTATAAATTTAATAGATATTATTTTTAAATAAAATATATAAAATTTACCATAAAATAAAAGAATATGAAATAAAAAAAGATATAACATGTGTGATAATGATCAATTTTGAAATAAATTTATTGATAAATGAGTTAATAATCATTTTATTGTTTTTGATTTTTATCATCATATCATAAACTACCTAGTTATTGTATAACTCATGTTATTTGTTTAATCATTATAAATAAGAATTTATTTTTTCACGTTCAAAAAAATGGAATCACATTTTAATTTTAATTAATATATATTGTTATCTATAAATTAATTATCTCAATGTATTTTAATTAAACTATTATTTACTTATTGATAAGTGTTAATGGATATAAAACAATCTTTTAATTTTTAATGTAGTTCTGTTAAATTTGTTATCATTATATTTTTTTAGAAAAATCTACTCATAAAGAAAATGACGAATTAACTTAAAATTATGTTACAAATACCCTAAAATACTTCTTTTCATAAAAATAAGTTTACATATAAAAACAGTAATAATTATTTATTATAAATAAAATATTAATATAGATTTAAAAAGGGTAATAACTCACTGAAGATAATATAAAAATAAATTAAATTTCAAAAAAAGTATTTAAGTTTAATCATCATTTGATTGATAATGTATATTTAGTAATATGCTTTACATATTTAAAAAGAAAAGAAATAAGCATCATTTCTTTAACATTATTATAATTAAAAATCGTCCTTATAAACATGAACTTTCATCTGAATAAATCAAATACAAATGTATCAACAAATAAAAGAGTTTTTACTAAGACTATTAAAAATATCAATAACCAGTGTTTCTATTGCATGTCAATGTCACATACTCTTCTTTTCAGCAATTATATTGGTTGGGATCACAATTATTTTTACATTCTCTACTGGACAATTCATTGGAAGTCCATGGTGTTATTTTGTTGCAATTTATGAAGCAATTCTTTTTATTTTAATGGTATTTAGATTTATTTCATATGCTGTAAGTTCCATAATCAAATCAACCAATTATATTTTTGGTAATAAAAGACAAGTAACCAACCATGATTTTGTTAAAAAAATACAAGTAACCAACCATGAAAATGAAACAAATCAGAATGAAATACAACAAAATACTAATCTGAATATTAATAATAAAAACCAACAAGAAGGTAATGCCACTAATGATAACCAACAAGAAGATAATGTTAATAACGAAAACCAACAAGAAGATAATGTTAATAACGAAAACCAACAAGAAGACAATGCTACTAATGAAAATATACAAAAGGATAATGTTAATAACGAAAACCAACAAGAAGTTAATGTTAATAATGAAAACCAACAAGAAGTTAATGTTAATAATGAAAACCAACAAGAAGTTAATGTTAATAATGAAAATATACAAGAAGTTAATGTTAATAATGAAAATATACAAGAAGTTAATACTGCTATTGAAAACCAAAATACTAATATATCATTTTGTGACATAATTGAAACGATTGCAATTTATAGTGGGATTATCATTCTGTTACTAGGAGTATTATTTGGTCTCATTTATTATAATAGTCTTGAAAAGAAACATGGAGTAGTTAGTTTTAGTAATACATTTGGATGTTCTTATTTATGTGGTGGATATATCTTAATGATGTCATTATTTATTTGGAGAGTAATAAGAAAAATGATAAAAAATAATCCTGAGAATTTTTGGTTATGTATTATACCACTTTGTCAACCAATGTATGTTTTAAGTTCATTAGTCTTTAAAGGAAATAAAACTTTTAGAAAGGTTATATGTTTTATTGTTTCATGTATCCTTTTTATTTACCCAGCTTTACATTTCATTGATGTCTTTTTCAATCATTATAAATTAGTTACAGAAGAATGGTATTATTTCATTTTATTTATTATTTCATTTATTCCTCTTCTTATTAATGGATATTGCTGTTCAACAAAAGAAGATATAAAAAATGACACAAAACAATCAGATTTAAATGATGAAAAACCATCAGATTTAAATGATGAAAAAAAGAATCAATTTGCTTTCTCTTGTTTTGTTTTTATAGTTATTATTATTATGTTTATTTTTGTGATGAGTTATGCTCTTCTTTCAGTAAATGTTCCATCAAATAACTTAAACAATATAAATAATTTAAATCTAAGTTATAATTATCAATATTCTTCTATCAGTGACAATGAATTAATTACACTTTCTGAGAATGAAACTGATTATAGTGTATCAGATATTGAACAATATAATCAAGAAGAAGGAATTAAAAATACTCCTATTAGTAAATCATATTTATGTAGTAAAGATTCGTATGGTATTACAAAAAAAGAATATTCATGTTTAAGTGCACTGGCTTATGCTAAAGATCTAAATGAAAGTGATGATACAAAAAAATATTATAACTATCTTCAAAAGAAGTCATGGAACATTGAATTACATGTAAAAGGAACATTACATTATTTAGTAGGATATAACAAGAAAAATAATGTTAAAGTTATTGCATTTAGAGGAACATATTCATTCAAAGATTGTATTTATGACATTCAATTGTTTACAGAATCTTCAGTTCCGACATTAGCAGCAATAGTACCTTATTTCACAAAACAAACTCTTTCAAAAGTAAGTTATGCATTATCATTCGTTGGTTCAAAATTAACAACACATGAACTTATTGAATTAGCAGAGAATGTAGTAAAAGAAGAAACGATTAACAATTCAGAAATTCCAATTATATTAACTGGACATTCACTTGGTGGTGGAATTGCAAATATTCTTGGAAGTAAGATGGGACTAGTATCATTTGGTGTATCTCCTCCTGGAACATATTTAGGAAGAAAGAGTTTTGAAATGAACCAAAAAGATATTACTAAATATGCACAAGCTATAATACCTGAAAGAGATCTTGTCTCATCACTTGGAATGAGTGGTGGTTCACAAATTCACATTCCTTGTTATGAACATACTTTAGATTGTCATGGTATTGATAATTCAATTTGTGTCATTGGTGCATTATGTCATGATACAGAACTTTCATCAATGTGTCATGAGAAATGGAAAAAATGGAATTTAAGTATTTCTTCATGACAATTTAATTAAATTGATTCATTTTTTTCAAAACAATCCATTGTTTATCAAATTTCTCACTGACAATTTCTTCAAATTATTTATTCTTTTAGTAATTTCAATAGAACTATTCATTTATTGGATTTTTAATGTATATTCATTATGACTGTACTCATTAATTATGAAATTAAGTAAAACATGACCATTAAGCTTATTGTCATTTAATAAATATTTCATTTTAGTTAATAACTTATTTCTATTTAAATTTGATTCTTTTCTATCCAAACAATATAATATTATTTATCATCATTATGATTGAATAATATCATTGTATTGTAAAGAAATATAAATAAGAAATAAATATTTAATGGGATAGACAGTGATGAAATAACAATGAAATGTGTAATAAGAATACTAAAAGAATTAATAACGAAATACACTGAATAAATGAATAAAAAGAGAAATGAAAATGAATAAGAAAACATGAGTGAATGAGTGATAATAAAGATAACACAAATAAGAAATATAGAATGTTAATAAAGAAAACAAAGAGAAAACAATCTAATAAGAAGTGAAATAGAAAATTGAAATATGAAGAAATAAAAGTAATTATTAAGTATTAATAGAATTTGTATTTATTATTTGTTGTTTAATGGAGACTAATCTTATCAATGAGTCTTCATATAATTCAACAATATATGTTTGGTTGGTGTAAAACAATGTTCAATGACATCAATCATGTTTTTAATTACAAGGTTTTTGATTTCTTTTGTGGTATCAATTTCGATTTTTAATTCTTTAATTAATTTAATACTTTCGGATTCGAAGGTAGCACGTCAGAAACACCACACAGAACCCTAAAATATTTCCATCCTTCGATTCCCACCAGTTGTGGACTGGTTATGACGTTGCGTTTGGTTAGAAAAACATTTTACCCAGTGCTGCAAGAATAACAGTGTTTATTATGTACAATGACAGAATATCATTGACAATAAACAAATGGGTATTTATAAAGATGTTATTATTACTTGTTAGAATACAAGTATTATTTGATAATATAAGAAAGATTATCAAAGGAAAAGGGTCAAGTGGATGAGGCTAAAAGAATATTAGCCCAAAGCAATACAGTAGTAATTATATACTCTCCTTAAAATAAGAAAATAAAGAAGAAGAAATTTAAACCCATCGAAATTAAAAAGAAATTTAATAATGAATATCTAAGTAAAGGATGTTTAAAATACTCTACTCAACATCAAAAACGAGAAAAGAAAGTTCTCACCGTTCAACAACTAGAAGCAAAGAATAAGCTAAAAGTTGAAGAAGAAATACATTTAAAGCGAAGGGACGGGATAGTTAATCTCCCCTGAGCAAGGAACAACTGAAAATATCTATTAATACTTAATTAACTACTTTTTATTTATATTAATTTAATACTTTCTGTATTTACTATTTAATTAATCGAAATTATTACTACATTTATTTTGATATATTTTATTTTCTCTATTTTAATTAGCATATTCTTCATTTCTTTATACTTATTTCTTTTATTCAAATATACTCAATTAATATTATAGTCCTTTATTCTTTTTATCTATTACATACATATTTAATTTATTGGTGATGATATTCTCTTCATTTAATATAAATATATAATGTCAATTCATGGTGATTTACAATTACTTATTTTCATCATAATTATATTTAAATCATCCATTGTGATGATATTATCATAATTTCTGTATCTTTCATTCTAAATTATGATTTGATTTATTTTCATTTATTTAATTTAAATGATGATAGAGTTAATATATTCATTATCAATATCCATGAGTTATTTTTTATATTGATATTTTTTATTATCGGATATACTTTCCATTCTGTGATTGAGTTCATTTTCATTCTGATGTATCTTTTAGTTGTTTATTTTATTTTATGTGACTTTTTAATATTATTAATGTATTCTTTCTCATTATTTACATTATTATTTATTATTTTTATTATATTTTCTATTTGTTCCCATCTTATTTTCTTATATAACAAATTAATTCAAATCAATACAACATGTCAATTAAAATTATATTTGTTTGTTTGTTGTGTTTTCTTCTCTTCTTGACTGATTATTATTTCTTGTTTTTTGATATTCAGTGTTTTGTTTTTATTTATTTCTTATGTTCTTCTTTAACATATCATCATTATTCTTCAACTCCTTATGATTAGTTCTGAGTGTTCTGATGATTTCATCATTGTTTCCTACTTCAGTGTTATTTCTATATTCTATTTCATTTATTTTTCATTGTAATGAAATGTTTTATTATTTTAATTTAGAGTTTTCTTTTCTTATTTCATTATATGTTGTTTGAATATTGTTTATTTGGGTTTTAATCTTTTCTATTTCTTCTTCAAACTCTTTTCTAATTCTATCTCATGTTTTTTGAATTATTTCATTTGAAATGGTTCGTTCTTCTTCTTTCTTTTTTTGTTTGAAATTATTTAATAATTTCTTCTATTTCTTTGATTTGATTTTGAATTTGTTGATTTATTATTTGTTATATTCTTCCATTTTCTCTTCTTTCTTTTGTGTTTTCCCTTTATTTTCTTTTTCATTTATTATTATTGTAGTTTTACATCTATCGTTCATTTCTTTGATTGGATTTTTGTGTTTGATTTCTTCTTCGATTGTTTTAATATCTTCACTTATCCAATCTTTTGTTTTATCTTTGAACTCTTCTTTGTTTTTCTTTATTATTTTATTCTTATTGAATATAATTCTTGGAGAATATTATACAATTTCTTTACCTTCATACTTTTTAAGTATTTCTGATTATTCTCTTTTCTCATTTTCACTTCTTATTCTTTTAATTTTTATTTTAATTTCATTTGTTGTTAATAATTTAGATTTATTATTTGTATAATGTTTGTTATCATTATATCTGCCTTGTTTCTTATTTGTTTTTATGTGTTCTTTTTTTTCTATTCACTCTTGTTATTTCTTTTATCATTATTATTATGCATTTTATTGCTATTGAAGTCCTTTCTTTTCTTTGAACTTGAATATCTGTTTGTTGTTTGATTTTCTTTACAAGACTCTATTGTATTACTCAATAAGCATGACAACAAAATATGATATATATTCTGTATTGATAAAATGAACAAAATGAACAAAATAAAAAGAAAAATAAGATAAATAAGATAAGAAATAATAAACAAAAGAAAATAAAGATATAAAATAAAAGATATAAAGAAATAGAATAAAAAAAGAAAGAAAGAATAAGAATATAAAAATAAGAATAAAAAGAAATAAAGAATAAAAAAAATTATAAAACAAATATAAAGAATGATATATCAATCAATAAATAAGAAAAGAATAATATCAAAATGAATAAATAAGAAAAGAATAATAATAATATAAATGATAATCAATTATAATTTGTTTCTACTTCAATTTATATTGTATTTCATTTATTATATTTTTATTTCATTCACTACCATTCAAAACATTTTCTTGGTATTCGTTTATTTTTCTTTAATTCTTCTTCACATCCACATTTATAAAAACATCCACGTCCAAATAAAGTAATTAATGATGGTATATTAATTGATTTTAATGATAAACATCCACAAAAACATTTATATCCTAATTCATTAATTGAAGATGGTATATTAATTGATGTTAGTGATGTACATCCATAAAAACATTCATCTCCTATTTTAATAATTGATGTTGGAATATTAATTGATGTTAATGTTGAACATCCATAAAAACAATAATTTCCTAATTTACTAACAGATGATGGTATATTAATTGATGTTAATGATGTACATTCTTTAAAACAATAATTTCCTAATTCATTAATTGAAGATGGTATATTAATTGATTGTAATGATCTACAATATCTAAAACAACATTTTTCTAATTTACTTATTGACGATGGTATATTAATTGATTTTAATGATGTACATCCTTCAAAACAGCCATTTCCTAATTCATTAATTGAAGATGGAATATTAATTGATGTTAATGATTCACATAAATAAAAACATCCACTTCCTAATTTAGTAATTGAAGATGGAATAATAAATTCATTAATATCTTTCTTGAAAATATTCTTTCCATTGATTATTTGTATATTATCTGGTATTTCAATACTAACTAACACTGGTTCATTCATAAATATTCTTTTTTTACTAATAAATTGTATATTATCTATATCAATTGATGTTAATGATGTACATCCTTTAAAACAACCAAATCCTATTTCAATAATTGATGATGGTATATTAATTGATTTTAATGATGTACATCCTTCAAAACAGCTATTTCCTAATTCATTAATTGATGATGGTATATTAATTGATTTTAATGATGAACATTCATAAAAACAATCATTTCCTATTTTACTTATTGAAGATGGTATATTAATTGATGTTAATGTTGAACATCCATAAAAACAATAATTTCCTAATTTACTAACAGATGATGGTATATTGATTGATTTTAATAATGAACATTTATAAAAACAACAACCTCCTAATTCATTAATTGATGATGGTATATTAATTGTTATTAATGACGAACATTCTTTAAAACAATAATTTTTAAGTGATTTAACTTCTGATGGTATTGTAGTTCCATATGTATTTCTA